GAGCCCCTTCCGGCAGCCCCCCGGAGACCGCAGGGCACTGGCTGTGGTGAGTCCGTGTGGGGAGGGCGCTGTGGGAGGGCTGCCAGCCAAGCTTGCCCTTCTCTGTGGCCGGGCAGGGGAACCCACATACCGGCTCTGACCCAGAGCCTGTCCCTCGGGACAGCGTCCTCTAACCACGCAGCGGGTGGGCCGTGGATGTACCTAACGTGAGGACTGGCGACCAGCAGGGAAAGCTTTGCAGATACGAGTCCCGATACCGAGCCACACGTGCTACCACGTTTCGTACCCCTGGGTTACCCGCTTCCCCAGATAGTACTGCTTGTCCCCCGAGGAGCCAGCGCCGAGCGGCCGAGGGTGGGAGGTCCAGGTGCTTGAGCAGATCCAGGACATACTCGGGCTGGTCACTTCCCGCCAGCGTTACACCCGGTAGGTGAAACTCCCACTCAGCACCTCTGCCCATCGGTGGCACGACTGTCACGTGACTATTCACACGCGGTGGTTGAACTTACCAGCAACGTCCCTGTTACCCCAATTGTGATGGGGTCACGGCACGGTTCGGTCTCTACAGGGCAGAGCACTACGAATTACAGAATCGCTGCTACTCCTCCTCGACAGGCCTGACGGCCCAGAGCAGCACCGCTCGGAGACACCAGCGGTCCCTCTGGTCCAGTCCCATGTGGTTTTGAGAGCAGTCACCCAAGGTGGGTGTGTTTCCCTCCAGGCCCAGCGGAGCCGCCCGGGCTCTGGCACGTGCAGTCACCTACCGGCAGCTATGTGGGCCTCCCCGCGGGGCCTGCCCAGCCACTCTCTGCGGAGCGCCTCAACTGAGAGCCACGGCTGTGGCCAGCACACTGAGCTGGGCACCAGGGCGCCCCAGTCCTTGGGCCGCAGCCGTGGCTCTGTGCACACAGCCTAGCCCCCTTCCACCAGCCCACGTCCGCATCATCCTGAGCCCTGAGCATGGGAGGAGTGGCAGACCACGCAGAGTCCACCCCGTTTTGGGTATGTCACCTCCTGTCCCCTGGTGCCCATAGTCTGTCCACAACCACAGAGCACACAGGGACCCAAGGTCAGGAGGGGCCACACCCCGCTCACGGCTGTGTCATCATGGCCCGCATGCCGGGCGCTGTGCTTGCAGTGCGGCTCGCCTAGCCTCCCCCACCAACTTCCTGGGCCGGAGGCACAAACCTGTGGCACGTCAGCAACCAGCATCGGCCACTGAGCTCAGGACGTCGGACAGGCCACTCCTCTCCCGGCACTCCCAGAGTGAAATCCACGCGGGGACAAGTGCCGTGGCGCTGCCTGCCCCACCCGTGGCCCCGTGCTCCGTGGGGCCCTGCCTCAGCACCACCTGCCATCTCGGGGCCCCGTGCCCCGGGGGGCCCTGCCTCAGCACCACATGCCATCTGAGGCTGCCGGTGAGCCCACGCACTGCGTGTCCCACTGGGTGCACGGCAGACCGGGCTCCTCATGCACCGCCCCACCCAGGCAGGACCTATCCAGCCTCCACTGCCAGGGCTGCGGGCTGCAGCCGCCCACCGGGGAGACATGCACACGTCCCAGTGGGCGGCGACATGGCACCGGGCGTGAGGGAGGGGTGACAGACTGCAGCCCCACATTCCTGGGAGGGGGTCACAGCTGGACCAAGTCCCCTCCGGGAAAGGGGACACTGCCTCTGCAAACCTGGAAGCAGGGAAGGGTGGGCGTACTAGGCTCTGAGCGGCCAGGCGCAGTGGAGCAGCTGGGGGTCTGCAGGGGCACGGCTCCGAGGGCTGTGGGCACCAGGGAGCGTCACCGTGTCCTCACCTCAGTGGCCAATCCTGAGGCGTGCAGGACTGTGCCTGTTACCCACAGTGCTCCCTCGTTTGGGCAAGCCCTCTGCATCGCACCCTCCTCTGCCTCAGTCCCCCGTCTCCTCAGCTGCTCTCTGGGCTCATCTCCCAGATGAACGACCTGCCCGGGGTGGGCTCTGGGGCCCCGGTGAGACCACGAGCAGCTGCCCTGTGATGGACGACGTCACTGGGCGCATCTCCATGGCACCCACCGGCCCGCCCAGCCACTCCCCAGGAGCTTCCTCCAGCTCCCAGAAATGGCCTTTCTGCTGAATCAGCTAGGGAGGGTGCTGCTGTTTGCTACCCAGACCAGGTAATGAAGACGGGGCAGGACCGCACAGGGGCCGGGAGGGAGCCGTGGCAGCCGCCGGGGTGAGGAAGGCGGGGGAGGCGCCAGCTCCGATGCGTTTATTAATCACCAGGACAGGGGACCAGAGCCCCAGCGGGCTCAGGCCGGGGGCAAGAGGCAGGCAGCCCTGAGGAGAGTGAGCAGCAGCAGCAGGGGGGGTTTCGGCTCTGGCTTCGGAGAGCTGCTGCGGGCCATCAGGGTCTGGATCCAGCTGAAGTGCTGACTGATGTTGGTGTAGACGCCGGGCCTGTTGGGCCGGCCGCAGCCCGTTCCCCAACTCACGATTCCAACCTGGTACCACAGGCCTTCCTTGTCACAGACCAAGGGCCCGCCGGAGTCACCCTGTGGAGCAGCAGGGGTAAGCCTGGCCAGGCAGACAGGCAGGGCCAACGGAGAGGCCAGGAGGGGAGGAGGGGCTGGGAGGGCTGCGGGTGGGGAGAGGGTGCAAATCCGACTCCTCCCCCGCTCGGACCCAGCCGGACTCTGCAGCTGCAAAGTTGGCACCGTCCTCTGCTCCCGGGCTTAGCGAGGCTGGAGCGAGGTTCAGGGACCAGGGCTGCTGCCGGCCCGGAGCTGGGAATGCCAGGACGCCCGGCTGTGACCCCAGCAGGGGCTGGTACTCACAAAGCAGGCGTCCTTGCCGCCCTGGGGGTCGCCCGCGCACACCATGTCTCCCCAGATGTCCACGCGGAAGTCCGACTGCTGGTACAGGTGGTTGCAGATGGAGGTGTTTATGATGGAGACCTGCACTTCCTGGAGGTTGTAGGGGGCTGGCAGCACTGGCGGGGAGAGAGAGATGGTGCCTGGGGGCTCATCCTCTGTGGGGTGTCCCTGGGCGCCCCGTACCTGGCATGTTGCATAGACGCTGCCCAGCTCCGGCCCAGCACCCAAGACAGCACAGACAACTACACCAAAGAAGGCTGGCAGGCGAACAGCCCCGCTAAAGGCAGCCCTCTGCCTGCAGGACGGAGCGGGCCTGAGAGGGGCCGAACGGTTCCGACAGCAGCAGCAGCCCGGGGCCAGGCAGGGGACACCTTTCTAGCATCTGGGTGATTCCAGGGCCCAAGCCTAGAGCTCTGCTAAGTGCGCCGAGGGCTCTTGGCACCCTGGGGTGTAGCAGCCAGCGCGAGCCCCTCCCAGACATGGAGAGAGTCAGTAGGAAGGTCACCACCTCACCCCAGCCCCCTGGCACGGTGCCAGGAAGGTGTCAGAGCCCATGCGAAGCCGTGTCTGAGCTACGCCCTAGCCGGGTCCCAGTCAACATCTGCTCAGAGCACAACTCCCAGCGCTAACAGCTGGGGGCACCTCTTCCCCCGGGTGCCCGCCGCAGTGCTGGCTCCGTTCAACCTCAAGCCCCTGGAGTCCGGGTAGCCATCAGCCTGGACACAGGAAACGGAGGCACAGTCAGATGAAGTGCCTTGCCCAGGGCCGGCGGGCTAGCACATAGCAGAGCAGAAGTTCACACCGGGCAGCCGGCTCGGGCACCCGCTGCCTTGCGGATCCCCGCCGCCCGCCTGCCACACCCTGGAAGGCCTGGGAGCACGGGCCTTGACGCGATGCCAGTCAACCCTAGGCCAGGGACAGGGGTGGCAGTCAGCGTGGCCGGGTCCATTGGTCCGTCCCCACTCATCCTTTGCAGAAGGGGCCCCTTGCAGCGGGAGGGGAAGGCAGACCCTGTGCTGCAGCCTTCTCCCACCCGTCAGTTCCAGCCAGTGCCACCCGCCCTCTCTGAGCCAACGAACCCTGGCTCTCCCCCATTTAGTAGTTCCGGGGGCTTGGGCAACCTCCATAACTCACTCAGTTTCCCCATCTGTAGAGTGGGTATACCATATTCCAAGGGACCAGCAGGCAGCATGGTGGTTAAGGCGCTGGACTCCCACGTGGCTGACTGCGGTTCGAGTTCTGGACCCAGCAGTTTGAAAGTCACGCCAGGCATGCATGCCCCAAATCCCAAGTGGAAAACAGGAAGAGGGATTGTGTCTCGGCCATCCCCCAGAGCTGATTTCTTACTCCCCTCTCTCTGTCTCTCTCTTGCAAGTGTATGCGCCCTGCCGGGGGGAACCTGAAAATCCTCTCAACCACATTTGTGTAAGCTCCAGGAGGACGAGAGACCTTGCGTCCTGGGTCCGTGAGCCCAGGAGAGGGCCCAGCACACAGTGCGTGGGCAGTGGCTGCTGGCCACCTTCCTGTTCTCAGGTGACTCAGGACAAGGGGCAGCCCGGTCTCAGGGCCGGAGACCCCAAGGCACCTCTGGGGAGGCTGTGCCCAGCAGTTCAGGAGCTTTGTGCTGAAGAAAAGCCTAGGTCCTTCAGCCGGGAATCCCCAGGTTCAGGAGCGCTGCGGCTGACGAGGACGGCATTCCGAGGAGACAGAAATGGGCCCGGCACTTGCAGGGAGCCAGCCAGAACCAGGGCAGAGCAGGAGGCTCAGTGACGGGGGGGGGGGGGGGCGGCGCGTCCATTGGTCCGTCCCCACTCATCCTTTGCAGAAGGGGCCCCTTGCAGCGGGAGGGGAAGGCAGACCCTGTGCTGCAGCCTTCTCCCACCCGTCAGTTCCAGCCAGTGCCACCCGCCCTCTCTGAGCCAACGAACCCTGGCTCTCCCCCATTTAGTAGTTCCGGGGGCTTGGGCAACCTCCATAACTCACTCAGTTTCCCCATCTGTAGAGTGGGTATACCATATTCCAAGGGACCAGCAGGCAGCATGGTGGTTAAGGCGCTGGACTCCCACGTGGCTGACTGCGGTTCGAGTTCTGGACCCAGCAGTTTGAAAGTCACGCCAGGCATGCATGCCCCAAATCCCAAGTGGAAAACAGGAAGAGGGATTGTGTCTCGGCCATCCCCCAGAGCTGATTTCTTACTCCCCTCTCTCTGTCTCTCTCTTGCAAGTGTATGCGCCCTGCCGGGGGGAACCTGAAAATCCTCTCAACCACATTTGTGTAAGCTCCAGGAGGACGAGAGACCTTGCGTCCTGGGTCCGTGAGCCCAGGAGAGGGCCCAGCACACAGTGCGTGGGCAGTGGCTGCTGGCCACCTTCCTGTTCTCAGGTGACTCAGGACAAGGGGCAGCCCGGTCTCAGGGCCGGAGACCCCAAGGCACCTCTGGGGAGGCTGTGCCCAGCAGTTCAGGAGCTTTGTGCTGAAGAAAAGCCTAGGTCCTTCAGCCGGGAATCCCCAGGTTCAGGAGCGCTGCGGCTGACGAGGACGGCATTCCGAGGAGACAGAAATGGGCCCGGCACTTGCAGGGAGCCAGCCAGAACCAGGGCAGAGCAGGAGGCTCAGTGACGGGGGGGGGGGGGGGCGGGGCCGCAGAGGGCCGAGGGGG